TTTCAGTGAAAAAATTTAATCAAGGAGTGCAGCAAGGCGATCCAAGTGTCAGCAGCGACGGTGGCACTTCTCACACCTCCAACTTGGTCCAACTGCTACTAACCCCTTCTCCCCACTGACACTCCCTCTTTTTATACTGCCCACGCAGACCGAAATAGCCGGGGGTCCAGCCCCTTGCGTGTAATACGAGATTCGTTCAACATTTACAATGATTTTGTGATTCTTCCGACACTTTATGGGCCAAGCCAAGCTGACAGGCTACCCACTAAACTTGAACACTGGCTGTATAAGTGCACCGACAAAAAAATAGGTAATTGTTCTGTTAGATATTTTAGTAGCTTTAAGTCTTAATTCATCTATGTCTGTATCTATTTTATAGATGCCTTTTAAATCTAGATATACGTATAATCAAATTTACTATAGGGTAGTATAGTATAGTAAATTATACGATTTTCAAAGATATAATAGATTTTAAAGGTGCCCAAAAGCTTACTTAAAATTTTTAAGAATCTCTACTTGATAAACCTACAAATAAATTAAATTTTTAGTTTAAAAATGTTCAAATTCCTTCTAAAATATTAACCACACTTCTTAATTATTTTTCTCCCAGTGTATATAGCCAGTGCACTATGTGGGCAAATGTCTTTGACTATAATAGAGTGAAAGACTTTAAGCAAGCATCGCTATCGTCATCGCCATCGCCATCACATCGCCATCGCCATTTCCATCGCCATCTCAGTATTAAGTTGCAAGAGCAAAAAGTTCCTGCCCAGGGTTTTCTGCTTGTAATGCAGACTAGTAGTAGCAACGGAAAATGGAAAATGGAAAATTCGAACTCAGCCATTGCAGCAGCTGACAATGCTCCCAGTGCACCCCCATCCAAAAAAAAAAACAATGTTATTCAAAACAAGAAAGGAAAGCTAACTTCGGGCGGAGCCGAAGTTTATATACCCTTGCAGTTAAAACCGGATATATATCGCAAACATCGGATATAGTTGGCCGATCCTTATGGGAATAGGAATATATAATCCAATTTATTACAATACAAAATCTAAAAAAAGTCCCAAACTTCTATCTTCAAAAATACGAAAGTTGGGTCATTTCCGATCGTTCAGTTATATGGCAGCTATAGGATATAGTCGGCCGATCCTTATGAAATTTGGCATGACGTAATGTTTTGCATTACGCCAAAAGCCAAAAATAGCCAAAAATAGCTCACATGTCAAATTTGAACTCTCTAACTCTAAAAACACCAAAGTTATACCATTTCCGATCAATCAGTTATATGGCAGCTATAGGATATAGTCGGCCGATCCGGGCCGTTCCGACTTATATACTGCGTGCAAAGGAAAGAAGGGTGTGTGCAGAGTTTCAAGACGATAGCTTTAAAACTGAGAGACTAGTTCGCGTAGAAACAGACAGACGGACAGACAGACGGACAGACGGACAGACGGACAGACGGACATGCTCATATCAACTCAGGAGGTGATCCTGATCAAGAATATATATACTTTATAGGGTCGGAGATGTCTCCTTCACTGCGTTGCACACTTTTGACCAAAATTATAATACCCTCTGCAAGGGTATAAAAAGTGCCATGCAATATTGGTCCGGATGGAGCAGTGAAAACTTTTCAGCAGTGACCTGAAAAACAAAATATTTTTGGTTAATTCAATTTTTAGCTATGATTGTCCAAACGCAATTCTTGTTGAATTCAAATACTCAAGGGTTGCGACTGGGCATCGCGGCTCGAAATACGAATACAACAAAGAAAACCATTTAAACATGTATATTCCCTTATGCAAACTGTGATCAAGTTAGTCCTTAAGAAATATTAAATTAGCTTTAACCAAATAAAGCATGAAATCAATATCTAAGCTGGAAAACTTTTGTTTAATAACATTTTTGGGGAACATCAAACAAGTTTTCTAACACGAAGAGCTTGTGAGCCACTTGGGTGTAAGCCAGAAAGAAATTGTAGCCAAGTTGAAAGTAATATATTTTGTTCTCGACAAAACAAGTCAAGAATTTACATCAGAAACTTGCTGCACGAAAAGGGGGGGACTGGCTCTGCTTATAGAAAACGTATTTTTCAAGCATCTTTTGACAAATTATGACCATGGTGCTCTCATGCTTGTGCTTTTCCCCACTTTTCCCTCCTGCTGGCGGTTTTTTTTTGGTATTTTTTTTTGTTCTTCCAGGAAAACTATGACTTCAAGTTGCCATGACAGCGTCGCCACATTATACAACAAGTGCTCGAAATAATAAAGTTAACAGCACTTTAATAGTTAGCTACTACAACCACCACACCCCCGGCACTTGCCTCCGGCCTCTGCCGGGATGGGGGCATGGGGCAACCTCAGAAGCGGCAACATGTTGCCGGGCAACGGACATAAATGAGGGGCTTATCCTATCGAGCAGCACAACTTGAGCAATAAAATTGCTTTTATATACGAGGAGCATCTTCGAGGGATTGGATGAAATATTCCCGACATGCTCTCAGATATACAACCATTATGGACGGCAGCAGATAAATTTTCCACTTTGATTTTTTCGCTTAATAAAAATCAAATTTAAATGCGGCTGACAACGCACCAGAAAATAGAAGCCATGTGTGAACTGCCACCACGAGGGAGGAACTCGAGAAGGCATTTATGGGCAGCTGATGACATGGCTTCCAGCTTGGCTGCTCCTCCTTTGCTGGAATGTGTAATAAACTTGGAGTATCTCCTACTTCGGCTTTATGGCCGGGCACATAAAAGGAAATCAAAGGAAGAAGCCATCTCCCCAAGAGAGAGTCAAAGAGTCGGAGCCACTAAATGGCAAATGGCCAGAAGTGGTGGTGCAAAAAAGAGCAGAGCATAGAGCATAGCCAGGCTAATAAGCTGCGAGGACCTCCTGGGCGTATGCTTAATATTTTGAGCCAGTTGGCGCTTATATAAATGCCCCAAGCCCATTGCCCGCTGCCCTCTTCCCAAAGCACCAAAGCGGAAAGTTCTGCATAAATTCAATTAACTAAAAACATGCAAATGAAAAACTTTTTTTTTTTGCCTTATTTTGCGACAAAGCAGCGGGCGGAGAGTGGAAAATGGTAAATGCAGCTCATTCGGATGCACAGAAGTGGCCTGCCTCCCTCCATCCGCCATCCTTGCCCTGCTAGTGGGCCCCCTCCTGGAAATGTTTTCTAATTATTTCTCTCGCTGCGAACATCCTTAGTCAACTATGCGTGTATATCAGAAATATGGAATGCCATAATGTAACGAGTAATTGCGCAAAAAAGTAATAAAGAACGCGCCGTTACGCAAAAGGGGCGGGTGGATGGTGCAGTGGGTGTGTCCTGGTCCTGGTCCTGGCCTGGTCAAAGGGCATGCAATCTGGCGAGGGGATAACGCAAGGATACTGCCGCCATAGCAGTTACGAGAACTGGAGGACTGAGCACCGAGCACCCAGCACCGGGCAACGGGAGGAGCAACAAAAGTTGTCAACGGCAGCAATGGCAACTAAAACAAAGCCCTGCCCCGGGTTCGTGCAACGTGGCCGCAAAAAGTTCAAGCGCCGCTCACGCGCCCCTGCCACGTGATGTTGCTTCTGGCAGCCTGGCATCGTGGCATCCTGGCTGCCGTCCTGTTGCTCCTGCGGGTGACTCGCCTCGTGGCCCAACCAAAAAGGATATTAATTTCCCAAAGGTGCCGTTTTTGCATCAAAATCACGTAAAATGCGACCGAGCGGCTTGGAGTGGTGTGCGGGGAGAACGAGTCCTGGGACAACTTAACAACAGTCCTGGCCAAAACAACAAATAGCAAATAGCACACCAAACACCCTAGGCTGCAATTAGAGCCATTAAACAGCCAGCTGGGCATCAAAAATTAAAAATATTTTCTATAATTTGTCAAAAAAGAGTGCTTTTAGAGGAGTATCTATCAAAGTTATGTTTTTTAAAAGTTAAGGTAGGTATTCATATTTCTTCCGTAGACTTCCTTATCCATAAGATTCCAATTATACCCTTGATACCCTGTCATTTATCAGCACCACGAAATAAAATTAAAACGAACGCACACAAATTAAAAACTTTCAATAGCAACAATTTTCATTTAAAAATTCAACACCAGGCTCTGGGACTCGCAGGATCAGCAGGGCAATGAGGAGTGGGAGGGGAAAAAGAGGAGCAGGACCTGCCAACCAGCCGCTTGTTGATGGCCATTGAAGTGGGGCGACAAACAGATTTATGAAAACTGAAAAATAACCATTGTAATTTGACTATGCGAATGCCAAAAAGGAGCAGTGTTGCCCGGATGTGGAAGGGCATAGTAGTGGGTTGGTGGGGGTATCCTGGGATGGGCCGAAAAACAATTAAAACTATTTTGGCCAAAACAATATCGGGTGGCTGGCTGCCAACGCCGCTAGTTTTTAGTCCCGCTGCTCCAGTTGCAGTTGCACGAACGTTTTATTAGAATGCATCCTGGGGGTCAAACCGCAGCAGGGTTAAAGGACAGCAGGAGGGGCGGTGGGAGTAAGGATAGTGGCAAAGCTGATTGCTAGCCAGGACATGGCTATGGGTAGCAATTCGCTCGGAATACCCTTGCTGCTGGATTATTAGAAAATTCTAGTTGGAATTTCAAAGAGTTAAATGGTACTTTCCATTTTCCCCCACAAGCTTAAAGGTTGTTTTCAACTTTCAGCTTAAAATATTCAAATAAACTTGCACAAAGGGTTAACCAAATTATCTAGGGTATTTCCCCGTCGTCCTGCCGGCACCTCCTGACCTGGCGAGTCCTGTCCCGTTGTTTTGTCATTGCAGCTGTCTGTTTGTCTGCCAGCGTTGCAGAAATCCAAGGCGTGTCCTTTGGCCGGAGATAAAGTGCAATGGCTGCGGGCGAGGACAATGCGATTCCCAAGGCTGAGCAGGAGCTTAGCAAAACAACAGATGTTGTCCTTTAAGACCTCTATCCATGGATTGCATTCATTCCGATAGCACCAGTTCAATGAAATTTAAAAACTACTTTTTATATAAAAATTGTATTTGGTATAGGTATTCATGCTGTTATTTCTTCTTGGGCAGTTCTTGCATCATGAATCCTGCCGGTGGAGGGGGCTCCTTCAGCGAGGTGAGTCCACCTTTGGGCTCGCAGGAGTATCGTCCATTACGCGGCCCAGCCGGCGGTAGTTTGTCATTTTTGAGATCCTCCAGGATTTGTATGGTGGTCTTCTCGTCCAGATCCTCGTAAAAGTCATCGTTGACCGACAATACCGGGGCATTCACACATGCCCCCATACAGTAGTCATCCTTGAGGGTGAACTGCATGTCCGGGCTGGTCTCGCCATGTTTCACCTTTAGGATCTTCTCGCAGACGGCATATATGTCATCCCCGCCCCGCAGCTTGCAAGGAGTCGAGGTGCAGACGCGGATCACATATTTGCCGCGAGGCTTCATAAAGAACATGGTGTAGAACTGGGCCGCCTCGTAAGCCTTCATCGGATCGATCTTGATGATATCGGCCACGGCCTTGACGGCGCTGATCGAGAGCCAGCCTTGCTGCCGCTGGGCGATGTCCAGGAGCGGTATGAGGGCGCCCTTCCACTCCGCTTCCGGGTACCAGACCAGAAGCGCCTTTACGCGCCGCTTATTTTCCTCCGTGAACTTGAACTCCAGCGTCTCCCGCATCTGGCAGCTATCCAGTTTTGCGGGTCGGAGCCAGAATGAAGAACGGTGGAGACACCTCAGACTCTGCAGAGAACGCCGCATTTCAATACTATTTTAAAATTGTATACGAGTAGAGTGTAAGCTGAACCTAGCAGATACTATGTGAATGGTGGAGGCGAAGCTGCTAGATTGGGGCTTATCTTCCAGCTTACTTCGTTCCTAAAACTTACTGCAATACCTTATTTAAAAAGTTACCTCTCAAAGTTCATTTAATAATTCTTTCCACACTTGGACGAAAGTAATTAATTTCTAAATCGTCAGTTGCACTGGACAATGCAATATGGCCATTAATTGGAATGGACCAGCTCGACCTTTGCCATGACAACCTGGTCCAAGGGAGGGATGACATCGGGACTGCATCCAGGTCACAACATGCCAATCAAGTTGGAATGCCGCAAATTGTTGGAATTGCATGCCGCGCTTAATTGTCAATATAAGTTCACGTTATCAAGGCTCTGTGGGTGTGGCTGTGTGGGTGTGGCATAAAGGATATAATTTCCCCAGACACTTTACAAAAGCCATCGCCCATCACCAATCGTCAGCGTTATCATCAACACCTGTCGTCCCTTGGCTCGTTTTCACACTTTTTATTATGGGTTATTAATGTTTTAGGGACTGTTCAGGCCAGGCCCCGCAAAAATAAAAAAGATTAAATCGTAAAACGCAGGCAGTCATTATGGCAGCCCTGTTGTATCCGATCAAAATCCATAATAAACAATTAGGATAATGGCTATTCAAAGTGGCATTGACTGCAGATAGCAGAGTGTTAATGTGGTAAGTACATGTAATAAGTAGCAGCACATGTTGCCCCAAAAAATGCGGTATAAATGGGTACTCATTTAGAGAGTCTTTAAAACCTCTGTAAGCTATAATTAAAGCTATACACAGCAATTTATATGGTTCTACCCGAAATTTCATAAACTTCTTCAACCACTTCCACCTCACTCGATTTAAATGAAAAGTAGTTTTTCGGCCTTTGACCCACTTTTGCGGCACTTGCTATAACAGCCCGAAAAACGTACATATCTGCTGCAAACTCAGGCAACAAAGTGGTAACTGCAATTGGCCACTAAGTACTTTCCAAAGACTTTTGCATGGCAGTTCACATAATTCGTGTTGTGATAGTCTCGGCCTCGTTGACTCCGGCTCTCTGGGGCTAGAAAAAAAAAACCAAAACACACAAGCAGACCTGGTCGGGGGTTCGGGTTTTGTGCCCAAAACATAATTAAGTGCTTGCCAAGTTGTTGACTGAGGAGGGAATTTGTCATAACTGAGGGCGAAAACTGAGGCACAACCAGAACCGTTGATGGTGTACACTAAGTAGTAATAAATTTTACTTTTATGCCAAGAAGAAACTCTGGGGGGCTCAGCGAAAACAAGACCAGAAATCAGAAGTGCTAACGAAAGTTCCCCTTTGACCTCCAAGTGGCTCAACAAGTTGGTCAGAACAAACCAGAACCAGAACCAGACGCAGACCCAGAACCAGAGCCCCAACCAGAATCAGCACCAGAAACGGAAGCCAGAGAAACCGAGCTGATGAAGTGGCAGTGGCCATTGGCCGGACTTTAGTTGAAGTTGGCCAGCGAATTGAACAAGAACTTGTGAAGTGGAAGCCAAAATTAAATCAAACATCAAACTGAATCGCAAAGTCATAAAGAAGCTGAGTCCTGGTTGTGGGGGTCTGGGGTCCTGGGTCCTAGGTCCTGCGGCAAAATGAATCGAAATGGGGCAAGAAGGAAGTGCCAAAAGTGTTAGCAACTTTGCCATATTTCTGCTACGGCTGCGGCTGTGGGTGCTGCCACTGGTGCTTCTGTTGATTTTACAAAACTGTGGCCAAGCACGCAGCCAGAGGCGTGATGGATTAGCAAAGTTGGAGTTTAGCGAAACAGCTTCCTCGGTTTTTAATTTTGCAAAAATATACGAAAGTTTATATGCGCAACTGCTGCAGGGCGATGCCGAACCTGACCCTGCCACTGCTCCTCCCTCTGTCACTAGTCGCGTTTCGGAGGACAGGGGTCGTAGCCGGATCAGCGGGAAACCCTTTCACATTCTGGAGCAATTGCAGCAGGACTTTGAGGCCAAATGGCAGACAACCACGACAGTGAAACCTTTTAGCATATTGCAGCACTTGGATTTCGAGCAAGAGGCGGAGTATCACAAACTACAGAAGCGTCCCAACGCCAGTTTCCACGTGCTAGAGGCCCTCTACAAGGATCAGATACGCTATGATCAGAAAACCACATCTTCGAAGCCCTTTCATGTCCTTCAACAACTGGAAAAGGATTTAATTGCCAAAGAGAACAAAAGGACAACCACAAAACCCTTCACTATTGTGGGTGCCCTCATCAAGGACACGGTTAAGAAACTAGAAAAGGAAGGCTTCGAGACGCAGAAGCCACAAAAGCCCAGCAATGAGGTAGATGCTCCGGCGGAACACAAGGCAGAACTTAAGCCGGAATCCCGGGCCAAGCAGAGTCAGAAGAGAAGGAGGAAACGCATTCGCCGGAGGCGCAAAAGGTTCCGCCGGCGGCGCAAAAGGACTCGCCGCCGTCGCCGGAAGAAGAGAAAGAAGCGCCGGAAGAAGCGGAAGAAGAAGAGGCACAAGGGGGACAAAAATAAGAAAAAGAAGAAGAAGGGCAAACGGAAGCGAAAGAAGAAAGAAAAGCCGGAACATCCGCCAGAGCACTCCATCTTCCAACCGGGTCAAGTGATCTTTGCCAATCCCACAAAGAAACCCTATTACCACCACCCATATCCTCACCCACCAGGATATCCATATCCTGGCAACAACAACCAGATGCAAACCATACCCACCGCCTTGCTGGCCACTCTGACCGCCGCAACGGCCACCACCACCACCAAGAAACCCAAAACGGTGACCACCACTTTTCGTCCATTCAGCAAGATCAAGTACCTCCTTCGGCACAACAGCATCTTCAAGAAGAAGAAAAAGGAATACCTCAGCCATGTGGGCCAGGTCCTATATCCCTTCGTCAAATTTGTGGCGTTTTTCACAGTCCTGAATCCCTTCACCCTGGGTGTGTTCCTCTTCACATTGATTTCGCCGGCAGTCTTCGGCTTCCTGGGCTTTGTGGCACTAAGTGTCCTGGTGAAGCCCTTCCTGCACCTGGTCTTTGGAGTGAAGAGAAACGTGGATGCCATTGATCGGAAAAGGTATTTGGCCAACAAGCAGGCCGAGAGACTGAAACTAGGGCTTAGACCGGTCACCATTCACAAGCATTATTACCAAAATAAGCCGGTGATCTCGACACCTCCAGTGAAGCTTCGTCCCGTGGGTCACTGGCGCCGTGAGGGGGTAGATCTTGCAGCTCCTCCATTGCGACCTCCTGCTGTTTCCAGAGGACCCCCTGGTCCATATCTTCAGCCACCAGCCAGAAACCAATACAATCCTCTGCTGCCGGAACAACGAAGAGTCCTGAACACGAGTTATGATTATGGTTGATTGCTTACTACTATTACTATTATTATTTTAGTTGACTTTAGAAAAATGTAAATAAAATTCATAAATAACTCTTAATTGTATATTTTTGTAGATAACCTTTGTATGATATTTTATTAATATTTTAAAAACGGCTCGTCATCTCTCGCTTCGAAAAATGATTAGCGCTTCCACCCACACGTCATCAGGCCCGCCATTCTCGCTCCATATATACAAATTCCATCTGATTAAGGCACTTTGGCTGCCACCTCGGGGACTCACTTTCACATGGCACACACCACATGCCTGGAAATTAACATGTTTGGCGGCGGTGGTGCAAAAATTAACATAAGCCACCACCACCGCCAGCCTCGCCACCGCTCTCGCCTCCGAGAGCCAATTAAAAAGTTTTCGCCACGTGGCTTTCGTCTCACTCCTTGCTTCTAGCTCTTTCCTCAAAATACGGTATCGTAAACCATGCGATATATGTCCAGCTCGCGGAGATGTTTCAACTTCTCGGCATAGCCGTCCTGGAGAAGGGCCTCCTCGACAGCATCTTCGACCACGAGGACCTGGTGCAGGGGCAGGCTGAGCTGCAGGTCGTTGCGTTCGAACAGCTTGCGGGCATCCCAGCGGAACACTTCCACCGCATCGCAGAAGGCCATGTGCCGGTATATATATTCCTCCTCCGTACTGTTGCCCAGGGCTTCCACGGATGCCACAAGGCGCATCACGATGAAGCGGCAGTAGCGACGACGCACATAAGAAATGGGCATGTCCTCCGTCTTGGGCCGCTGGCTCCGCCGATTATTGGCCGCCGGCCGGAAGTAGCTGAACAGGGTGAGCCCCGAAATGATGGTCATTTTGACTGCGGCAATATTTAACATAATGGACATGGCGCTGATCTCCTCCTGCAGTACCAAGTTGCGCCACCAGAGCAGATCGCATCCGTGCCGTACATAGGCCTGATCAAAAACGAATACCAGCAGGATAATGGTTAATGCAGCGTGTCCTATGGAGTTATAGTTACGTCTAAAGAGGCGAACTATTCGCCGCCAAGTATTGTTCACTCTGGACATGCTGGAGATCCTAGATCCTGACCTCGAAATAACAGAGAAATTTTGAAACCAAATGGCTGAAGGATCAGAGGCAAAAAGAAGCTGGAATCTAACCAGTTTTACACAATTCTTTTACGAAATTACAAAACGGTTTTGAAAATTTTGAAAGCTGGAGATATTTTTCGCTTACTAAACTTTGACATTTTGAAACCAAAATTAGTGTACAGTATTTTAAATATATTTTCAGCATTAATTGTTTGTCATTTCAATAAAAAAGTATCTGAATATTATTTCACCGCAGAAAGACCTATTATTGGATGGAAGTTCCTTTCGATTTGTATAGAAAGTTTGTGTATTGGAAGCTCCTCTCGTTTTCTGCGGCTTTACTTTATTATTTGTATTTTTGTTTCATTGGCTGAAGATGGTATTGGCAGTGAGTTCGCACAATTCACAGAGCCAATATCAATTGCGCCTTTCGCAATTTGCAACATTTTGCAGGCCAGCATAATGGAATCGCCTTGGGAACGTCATTTTGTGTGGCTCAAAACAAGTCGTTCGTCGTCACCAGCATGGCACTCTATTGAGCTGGTGAAGATTGGCGGAGAAGGGGAAGGAAGAGGACAAGGAGCCCGGATAGTGGTAGGTCCTCCCCCCCATTGAAATACGAGCAGTAGAGTGCCAGGCAGCAAATAGAAGGAGTAATAATAAATAAAATTGTAGCCAATTCATAAGGATTTTGCATTTTGTCGCTTCAATCAGGCAATCGATGGTTTCCATAGAGAGAGAAAAAAAAAATTGGAAGGAGTTTCTCAAGAAATTATTAGGATATACTAAATATTTCTATACAAGATTTGTTAACACAAATAAGGGTTTTATTCTTTAGAGATTTGAATAGCATTTTATCCTCACTTCATATCGACTCGACCTTTATTTTCTGTGTAAAAAAAGGGGGACAAGGACTGCAGTGCAGGACCACAGGACAAGGCAAGCGACTGGCAAACAACATTCATTCATATTTGCCAAGTGCCGATTGAAGCTGCCTTTGCATTCCGTTGATCTCCTTCAATCCCATTCCACTGCCACGCCCATTTGCCCACCACCCCTTCACAACCCACCGCCTGAACAATGTGCGTATAAATAACGGATTTCCTGATATAAAATATTTGTAACGACATTTTCCCCGATTTATGTATTCACACATACACACTTACACACCCACACAGCCACACCCACGATGTCCTGGATCCTGGAATAGTGAATATATATTGCATTGTGTCAGTATACTGAATGAGCATGTACCTACTTCTATATAGTGGCAGGATTCCTCCTGCCTTCTGCCTCATGGCTCCTGGTTGCTGGTAACCGCCACCTCCCCTGCCAATTGCTGCCACTCAGTCATGGCTGACAGTTATGGCTATATGGATACGGATATGGATATGGATATAGATATGGATAGGGACATGGATATCGATGTGCCGGGTAACGTCTTTGGATTGTAGCTGTCAACGCACCATCAAATTTCAACCGATTTAAATGTGATGTTTAGAAGTGCACCGAAAAATATACATAATTAGTACTCTAGTATTAAAGATTTCTTATGGTCTAAATTAAATTAAAAATGTTTTATACAAGCCAGGATGTACTGTATGTAAAATGTTTATGTTTTATATTCATTTTAAAATGTATTATTTCTAGTTTCTCCCAGTGCACTAAAAAGCAGTGGATTGATGATGCCCAGACTCAGTTTCAGTTTCTCTGGGAGATGCACTTGCCGTGGGAGGTTCATAAATCACAGTCATGCACGTGTTAATATCCTTGAATGCTATCCTGCAAACCTTCATTGTTGTTAGCGGATATCACACTCGCACAAAAGGTGAATGCCATTTTTCGGAGGTATAGGAGGAGGAGGTATATCCTGTTCTGAAGGCGGACAAATAGTCGGAGGTCAGGCCACAAATGATGCGTCGGTTGAAAGCACAATTTTCAAATGATTGACAACGCAATTATGCCACAACTTGATGCATTAAATTATAATAAGGGTTGTGGGGTTTCAAAGGATTTAATTAAAATATCTTGTATCTGTTCTATATTTAAAAAGCAAATTGTATTTGCCAAAATAACCTTATCGCATAGAATTCAAAAAAGTAAAATAGGAAAAAGCTCCTTGGATGATCTGAAAATATAAATAAATTAAATTTTAGTAAGTAGCTAATCCCGAATAATCTTAATAATTTAACCTACCTTAAGAACAGTGGTTAAAGTTATCCGAAAATATTTTAGACCAGTGACAAAAAAGGGTTTTGAATTAAGTTGGATGGCCAGGGTGAGAAGTCTCATGACTCTACAATTCTCTTCAATATTTTCCGATTTGTGGACGACCTGCTCCCAGTCGGCCGTATAATACATCATTCCCATTTCGTCCGTCTGAAAATTTAGAGACTCAGTACAATACGTTAATAATTAAATCAAAATTAGCCCACCGTTTTTAGAAGAATAGAACCAAGCATGCCGAGAGCCAGGAGCTCCATGAATTTGGCCAAGAACCAGACTATGTAGGCCACATTGTTAATTGGATTCTTGAAAAGGAAGTTAATAGATTTTTAAGAAGATTATTTCATATCTCCACCTACCGTATAGGCCTTGAAAAACAAAGCACAGAGCAGGGCAGCACTAAACAGGAACATTATGAAGATTCGAAAACTGAACTCCTCCTCCACTTGTTCGCCAAAGTCCCGGAGAGCGGCGTTGCGGCGCAGGATTTGGGTTAAGGCTTGCCTGTACCTGGCGGCAATCTCCAGACTTTGCGACTCCATCAACAAGTGACTGGCTGAGCGTCGAAGGTCCTGGCCCAGCTGGACAAAGCGGGCATTGAGATGCATCATCAGTTCGCCCAGGACATTCAACTCCCCGAAGAGCATGCTCGTGATGATGACGCCCACCCAGAAGTTGAGCCCCAGCAAGGGAATAAAGACTGGCAGCCAGGTATTGTCGAAGGGGTAGACCTGCTTGTAGAGCATATCCCGGCGATGAAAGACGACATTCTGGATGGGAACCACCAGGAAGTTGAGTAGGGCCAACAGGTACACCACAGAGTTTATCCTCGTGGCCAGCATTTGGCTCTGAATCCTGGAAAACAATACAGGTTCCTCTTTCTCACTCACATAGATTTCCCTGTAAAATCGTTGCAAAAGGACTCGAAATTGATCCTTGTGCGTGGCGAGCTGAAAACTGCGAATTTGCATCTCCACCAGGATCAGATATGTAGGCATGCCCGCCAGCATGTTGTCCATGTCCTGCCAATTGGCAATCAGGTAATGAAAGTCCACCTCGTTGTGTTCGCAGAAAACGAGAAAGCCGAGGAAAATAAGGAATCTATCCAGCCACTTTGTCCAGTCAGATGAGTCTTCCTCCAGGGGCCAGGATATATGATTAAGGATCCGATACAAGGACACCGGCCAGGGCATCGGAGCCAGAGCTCCATTCTCCAGCCGGGGACGATAGCGTTTGCCTGACAACATGTCCGCAGGTTGTCCTGGCCTCCTGTCCCAGGCTGAACTCCCATTTATATTCTAATTTTAATTGCAGCCAGCCTGATGAAATATTAAATTCAGGCCCCAGTCATAAATTATTCAGATTCATTTGCGTTTGTCAAAATAAACCCGAAATCGAAACCACAACCAAAGCCGGAGTCCGGGCCAGAATCAACCCCAAAAACAGGCCTTCCATTGCTGATTTCAGTTCGATTAACAATGCCACTCAAGTGCCAAAGTTTATTGTTAATTGATGTAATTATAAAAGCTAGAGGAAGTTTATTTTTCTTAACAATAAAATCCTTTTGCGGCTAACCAAGTAATGCACACACATTTTATTGAAATATCAAATAATAAACATAAATGTCTACATTTTCTCTGGTTGGGGCTTGAAATATAGACAACAAGTGCCAAAATGGCCGAATTGTATGATTTTACGAATCAAAAAATTAAGCATAATATCTTTTCAACTGCCAGATTCTTTGGATAAGCAGTGTCCTTTGTTCATTGCCAGGTTTTGATAGAAAATGAAGCTACTTGAAGATAAAAGGTCGGGAAGGTATAACATTCTGCGATCAGATGACTATTGGCCAAGTTATGAAGAAAATTGTGCTAGGATCTGGCTCAAAAAATGCTATGGGCCCGGAAAATCTGGTTTTTGACCAAATTGGAACTTTTGAGTTAGTTTTCTGTCCATATTTAAGTCAGTACGCAACCGATTTTAAAAAGGTGTACCATTTATGAATCAGGGAACTTAGCTTATTAAATCTGTATTTATCTGGCATTAATTGGGCATTAATGAAGAATTGGATTAATATTGGGAAAATTATAAAAATGTTAAAAATTAAAAACATTACGTAATAATATACATAATGCTACTTTAATTTAGCCCTCTATACAGTTCTATGGATTGAGTTTGTTGATCGCAGACATGGGTTCTTAGATTCAAAAAAAACACCAAACTTCTAATCGAAAAGACATGCAATTTATGGAAATTCCTATCGTTCCGATGTGGCAGCAAATAAAATAATAGTATGAAATTGGCCCTGACACACTGACTGACAGATACACGCAGGTGAACAAGGACCAAGGACTCACAGCCGTGGAAAGGAGTTCTTTCGAGCAGCGCCCCAAAGTATGCACCTGGGAGCAGATGACTGCTCATGTGTATGTGTCAGTGGAAGTGGGTTTTCCGGGGGCAAGGACTCGCCACATCCTGGTCATATCAAAGGACGACCGAAAAGGCGTCGGAGCAGAGCAAATTCAATTCACTACTGTTGATTCTGCCTGCCACCCTGGTGTTGTTCTTTTTGTTTGATAAAAGGATGAAAGCCGGTCTGAGGAAAAGGCCAAACAACAAGGAGAGAGGAGCTGAAAAAACCCAAATAATATTAATATGCAAATTGAGTTTTTTAGTTGAGTGATCTAAGCGGATAACCGAGGGCCAAGTCAAGGCGAACCGAAGGCCTCCTGAGGCTCCCACAGGCAGGCAGACATCCTGGCAACCAGACAGCCGAAGGATGTGCCAGGATGGGGAGACCGCCCCTTGGGGTATTTTGTTTTTGCTTTATTGATTGCCCTCTCGTACACGTTATAAGTCGTATCTGGAGCATACAGTTCGGTTTAAATGCCAGTCTCGAATCAATTGAAATCATATTTTATTAAACGTTTACGGGGCCATTTTCCACAGCCGCCACAGGCACTGCCAGGCGGTCGGGGGCGTCGTCGGAATCGAAAAGGAAAATATTTACAAAAAGTCACCCAAGCCCCGCCAGCGGCATCGAACGCATCAAATATAAACACATAAAAAACATTATTCGTACCTACAAACATATAAACATAAATCTATATCTGGCGGCCATCGGCAAACTCTGAACAGATTCGCCAGCTTTTTTCCTTCCTTCAGCGGGAAAACAAATTCGGAAAAGAAAATTGAAATTGAAAAAGAGCCAAGCAGCCAACGAGAGCCACCCAACCATCCAGTCAGTCGTCAGGCAGCCATCCAGAGGAAGATTGAAGGCAAACACTGGCAGGACCTGCGAAAAGGCACGAACTACAGAGTACAGGATCTGCAGTAGTCTGGCAAAATAGCGCCCGAAGGATTGGCCAAATGTCACGCAACTTTCCGCCATTGAAAGGATTCCCAGTCGGAGAGTTTACACAACTGAATATTCCAAGGTAGCGACAAAGCAAACCGAAACCGAAAAGTCCAGCCCCCGGAGCAATTGATTTATAATTACGACAGAGGCAGCCCAGAAGCAGCGGCCGGAAGTGGGCCAACAAAGCCGTTTGGCGGATTTGCTCAATTAGCCAACTCAGACATGAAACCGAGGCGTAGTGAAATCGAAACTGAGACCGAAATTGCCAACGATTTCGATTGGTTATCAAATGCACAAAAAAAAAAACTCATTTATTAAAGAAAAGTTAAAGAAGTTACTTAAAGTAGCCCTATGATTCTAGATGTAATGGTTTATTATTTAAATGTTTAAAAAATTTTAAGATTTGTATAAATAGAATATCTGTACTGCATGTAAAATAAACATATTATTTTTTCGCTGTAATGCTCCCCCGCATTGCGTAATTTCCGGCGGGCAATTTGGTTTACCTTTCCGATTTTTCTTTCAAGTTGGCTGCGCCTTCTTCTCTTATTTTTCCACCTGTGGCGCACGGGGCGTATGAGTGACCAGATATTCTGTTTTCCATGAAAATCTCCGCCGGGCCCGCCTTTGTCGGCCTCTGTCTGCCTAGCAATATGTAAAATATATGCAAATTGGTTTATTTTCATATGGCAGGACTAGCACAGGCACAAGCCCTAGGCGGCATTTTTTTTGAAACAGGGCACGTGTGTCGTCAGGACATCGAAAAAATATAGCAGGACGGAAAAATTTAAGGTAAAATATGCTGACCCAGGAAGTAGGGGGCTTTCGGCCATTGTCTAGACATAATTGGCAGCCGGCAGATCTGGTCAGTGTTACGACAAAAGGAGGAGTGGTCGGACGGATATTTGTTTTTACAGAGAATTCCACGAAGCCCAGGGACTCGTGTTGAAGTCATTAAATTTAATGGCAAAAGGTTATCCTAATTAAACATAATTTTTCTTAGAAAAGTCTCGCTCAAGAATATGGGAATTTTGTGCTTTAAAGCCAATAAGATGTTTAAGACGAAAGAATCTTTTGCATTCATAGCCAGTCAGCCCACTGATTTCGGATTTGGAACATGATTCCTAAACTATTAAAGATACATAAGCGAGAGGGTTGCCTGAAATATTCACAAAAAAGGGGAATCAAAAGGAGCCAAAGGAAAGGAAGCCCACACACATCCTGGCGGCTCCTCACAAACGCCTCTGAATAATTAAAAGGCTCTGCCATGCCGACGGTTGAGGATACACAGGAACGCAAACTTTTTCAGGACGCATATCCTTGATGATCCGATTGAACCGAGGATATGGGAAACGGCAGCAAGAAAGCTGCAAATCGAACACGCAGGTTTACATCCCGCCTAATCCCGTTGTCAGACTGGCTGGCCCAAGGCTGGCTGACTTCCAGGCCACGAAACCTTCAAGGACCTCCCAACCACTCTTACCTTTTTTTTTTGTTTGGCTGCGTTTCCCCCGGAGGTCCTGCCGAAAAGCCTCAAGCATGTCCGTTATTTTGTTTACAAGAAAACATAAATCTCAACTCTTATGCGGCCGGCTGGAGTATGTCTGTGTGCGGTCGAAAGGATATGCCTCTGCCGTGTGAAATGGAACATATCATCACATCCCCACATCCTGGCATCGCCGCATATGTGTGCGGGTGTTAGGGTTACGGGCATACAGACACACACACACACAAAAAAAAAAGAAAAAAGGGTTAAGGATGAGTCCTTTGGCTGGTACAGGGCGACGGGGGCTATGGTTTGCACGCGTCAACTGTAAAATCCTTTTGACATGCAACCGGCCACTCTTTGGCCCCAAGTCCTACGGACAGTGGCCATAAAATATGTGCGCCCTGATCCGGAGTGAGTGGGCTTTAGAAGCGGGAATCCAATTATAAAGAATTTTAAACTATGTAGCGTGAACAGGACACTTAAAGTGGGCAAAAAGCCAGGTTATTAGCGAATGTATCTCCCACACACTCTCGGCCAGGATATGTCTCTGGTGGAGTCTGTGTGGGTCTGGCAGTGGGTGTGGGTTTGGGTGAATGTGTGTGTGAAAGTTATTAAAAGGAAGCAAGTTGTGACGGGCACAATCAGTCAAGGACTCAGCCAGCTGATCTCCATGCTGCCCCCTGCCTGGGTCACTGTACATATATAAAAATTGACGTGAAATTTATACGCCATTCCTCGTTTTTTGGGTTGGAATGGCAAGTTGAAGGAAAAAATATAGCAACAATCCATAAAGTAAATGTGGCATTTAAACAAACAAACCCGAGCGACAGGAATAGGAGGGCAAACAGGAGCTCTGTGACAAAACACTGGAAGCCAAAACTGACAGTGACAACTGGCTGAAGTGACGGGGAGCACAAGGAGCAGGAGCAGAGTATCCTTGCCGAGTATCCGTCAGTACCGAGTGTGTTGAGTGTGTTGATGATGCTGCCCTCCTCCGCCTCCTCCTTCTGCCCACCAAATATAAAACACAGTCTCACAAAATGAAGCAAAAAAATTGACATAAGCGGATATGTTACCCAGCGCCTTTACGGTATGTTATTCCTAGTGGGCGTGGCAATGGCAGTGTCCCACTTATGTACATATAGATATATCGCACATATAGGCAACGGCGGCTGCATGAGCAGCCAGCAGATAAATTAATGCGATTTTTCATGTTGCATGCTTGAGTTTGATTTATGCAATTATATGTCTCTATATGTGCGGCATATCTGTGTTCCCTGCCCCATGCCCCATGCCCCATGTCCTACGTCCTATGTCCTGTTTCCTGCGTCTGTGCGGGTGACAGACAACTTTTGTCAAACACATCTAAAAGCAGTCATTTTTTATATTTGATATAAAGCGGAAATGCTAAGAACATTTCCGGTTCGTTACCTTCGCGTAAGCTTAACATCTTTTGATGGTTCCGGGGTTTGTTCTTCGGAATACCCTATTATTTTTGGTTCTAACTAATTTTTGGGGCTTATTTTTAGACCAGAAATATGTCTATTATAAGTACCAATAGATTCATAAAAAAAAGAGGGAAGATCAAAATTGAAATCCCCTATCTAGACTAAAAATCCTTATTATATGCCATGCCATGACAACCGCCCTTGAGCTTCATCGACCAGGGGACTGGCTAAAGTGGAATCTAGTCCGGAATGGAGCTGGCTGGCTCATGTTAATTTGTCATGATGCCACTTGCTTACGAGTTCTGCTTGTGGTCCACTCATCCGGCGGACAGACGGCCCGGGCTCCGGCATAGTACTCTCATGGCGCATACGGAAATTACACAACAAATGGACTTTGGTCTGCCCGTGCCCCCCCTCTCGGCTAGCTCTTCTACTATCTGCTATCTCTTCTTCTTTTTCTAAAATCAGCAGAACAACCTGAAATCTGGCCAAATCCGATTAAATGCAAATGCCACGGAACCCCCCCCCGGGTCCTTCTTGCTCCCCTTTGGGAGCAAACAATTCAAAACACAAAATACACACACATGCCGGAGAGCCCGGCGCAGATTAGTTGCGTAAGTTATCAGGATTGGTAAGGAGTTGGGAGCGAGGAGTAGAGGCCAGAAAGGTGATTCTGGTCAGGTGGCGAGGAAGCGAGGTGGTTGCACTGCAGCAATCGTCAGTCAAGCAAACACTGCAGCAATTCCCAGTGGCCTGCCACCCGCTTATTCCACTAATTAATATTTCAATGGCCGATTCAGTTGCATACAGTACGTATACGTACTGCGTACCACGTACTGCGTATGGTGTGTCTGCCTTTTGCCTTCTGCTTCTGGCCAGAAACGACTTAAAGTCCAGTAGCCAATGGCCATGTCGAAGAGTTCCACAACTGCTGCTGTCAAATAGGTGCACTGAGGGAAGTTTGGCTTAAAATGAATGGATTTTAGGGATAAATATTGACCTTTTTTCCTGAAGAGTACCTTTGGATTTCTCTTTCAGTTTTTTATTATTGCCTACCCTTGTTTTCCTCTTATTACAGTATTTCCTTTAACTTTTTTTTAAGTGTATAGTGCATAAAACTCATTTCGGCCATTAATGGCCAATGGGTAGCGGAGTAACAAGGCGCGTCGGGAGTCGAGAGCCGAGAAGCGAGAACCAGCAGCGCTTCAAAGGAAATGACAGCCATTTCCATTTTTAGCAGCGCTTGGGAAAGCTCACAACTGGCGCGCTGAGCGGAAGTGCCGGGCTCTTTAAACCGGGAACTGGGTGGCAGTAGCTCGAACAGAAACAGTAAACTGAAACCGAACTAACATACACAAAATAGCTTGTTTAAAATATGCGTTCCCCACACACAAAACAAACAAAAATATCCCCATCCTATCCGTATTTTTTTTTTTGTTAGCATCCCAAGTATTCCAGCAGCAGTCCAGTGAACATTGTCGCAAGGCATCAGGATTTTATGTAGCGCACCAATAGTCCCCCCCATCCAATCCCAAAAACCAAGACCCCCCAACTAGAGCAGGGGGCGTGGAAGACCACTCTAGACGAGCAGGAAAATAAAAACGCCACTTCCGTTTTATTTGCGCAAAATTAAATAAACCGAAATATGGCTGACCATATTGGCGCATAATGGGCAAAAATATTTTTTTCATTAATGTCCCTGTTCCTGGCTATAGCTACGGCTACGGTGGAGTAGAGAGCAAAAATAAATAAATAAGTAAAGCGGCCAAAAGGAAAGCCGAAAAGTAAAAGCCCCGACTCCGGCCGGCTTATTGTGTGTCAATATTTGGTTGGCCGGGGGAAAGCTGGGAGCTCATAGTTGGAATAATAAAATCATTTTAATAGTGCAGGTGTATGATAAGCTTTGATAAGGTATGATATTCCCCAGTAATTATTTTTAATAAAGCCTTATCTGAATACTTAATTTAAAGCCAAATACAACTCTTATCAAAATAAATTGAAAAGTATGTAAGGATTCTTTTATTCGACTTTTCTTTTTCAAGAGATGACAAAGTGCTTCCCCCAGATTCCCCCACATTCGCTCCTTTTGGCCAGGACTGCCTTCACGCCCTGGAAACCCAGTCTCAAGGATAGTTAAGCTGCTTCAAAGCGATATTAGATGAAAATTTGTGTAAGCCGTAAAGAAAAAGCCCATTGAGCGGGAGAGTGTGCGACGATTGGCAATCGAATTTAATGCGCATTTCTTTTTAAAGTGCCAGCAGCTGGGGACGAAAACAAGCCCACCACCCCACTTACACACGCCCACCCATGCCCAGGCGCGTCTTTTGTCAACAGAGGCAGTAGCTGGCTGAAGGAATCACCACCACCCACTAGATCCCAAGCTCTACGAAGGTGGGGGGAGAGGCGAAAGCCCAACCCAGCCAGCCGCACTAATCAACACAATTACGGAACAGTCTGTGGAAAAGTTTTCTAATTGGATATGAAGACGCGCACATGCGTTTCTTTAAAGGAATTTCACTCCATCAGCCGAGGGTCCAAATATTTTGACAGGAAAATGGAGCTTTCCCAGAGCCCCTCTGTCCTGGGCCCAGATCCAAGTTCCAACTCCAATTCCCATTTAGGCAGGGCTCCACGCTGAAATGCTTTGACAAATTATTTTTAAGCCAATTTACAACTTGAGAAAAAGTATCAGGAAAACATATCACACCACACACACAGCCAGGAGGACGAGCCAGGAATGTGACTCGAGGAAGAGCAGGGGGCAATAGGAGGAGGAGGAGGAACAGAAGCAAAAGCCGGATCCGGATCCGGAGCCAGAGCTGAATTGTTTGTGTAGGTAAAGCAAATATAATGCGAGGGATAAAAGTGTAAAGTTGACAACCCAGGCACATTACTCACCCGAGGTGCCAGTTTACCCGGACTCTGGTATGGGGAGCATTAAAATAACCAGCCAACCGATTCAACGTCAACCCAGGAGCGGTGAAATGAGCATGGCCAAGAGAAATGGTAATGCGGCCGGTCGAGAGCCAAGCCGTACCAAACCAAAGTGAACCCATCCTAGCTCCTTTTGGTACTTCCTTGACGTGGCCCCCATGTTTGCGCTCCTTCATTTCGCACTTCTTTCCAGCATTTTCTCAATGTCTCTCACTCGACAAAATGTCGACAGCGTCGGCGGAAACCATTAATTTTGTCACTTTCGGAAGTGTAAAGTGGCAAGGTGCACATGAGTCCTCGCTCCAACTTGGCTAGCCTGGCTGGAGTTGCAGGCTGGGCTATTGGGCCATTGACCAGGTCGCCAAGCCAGCCAATAGTGAGAATCATGAAAGGGCAATTAAAGCCGGGCACCTGCGCACATGTCCAAGTGGCGGTTATATCTTCTTTCCGTCTCCCGCCGACTTCCGAACAAGTTAATTGTCGGCGAGCTGCAGACCGCAATTACCGCAGAACCCATGAAACTTCACTGACCACGAAACCACAATGCAGCGCCTTTACTTGCCCACCAACAGTCGGATGTTGACTTAATAATTACAAATGCATAATTTAATAGTAACGATGTAGTGAGAGGAATGCTCCGCATGGGCAGGCATCAATCGATAGCTGGGTCACATAATGATTAATGATGCTTATGAATAACAAGTGTCTTCGGTGGGCTCTCAACTGGAAGCCACCTCAGTCTTCGATGACGCACATGATGTTAATGCCGCTCTTGCCAAGATTGACGCCCTCCAGGGCGGATTCCTGCTGCTGGCGCATGTAGATGAGGAACTGGATGATCACATAGAACAGATTGTTCCGATCGTATACAGAGTTGTGCAGCTCCTTGTCGCTTATAAAATTAAACTTGGGATTGTTCTGGTTGCTGGTTATTAAAATGGCACAGTGGGCCTTGTTGTGCACAGCATTTACAATGTCCTTGGTGGAGCGTTTCTCATCTCGCGTGAGCACATAACGTGAATGGAAGGGTCGTCCGCCGCCCTGCGGTAGTGGCATCAACTGACTGTCCAAATAGACACAAAATATATGGAAAAGTATCTGGAAAAACAAAACGAATTAAGTTTTTCAAAAATAAACTTTGAAGTTCTCTCGCTTACAGCTGCATCGGTGGGCAGGTGCTCGCCCCACTCCTGTCCTTTGTGGGCGTTGCCCGAGTTCCAGCGATAATCGGCTATGCATGATCCCTGAGCCAGCTCTCGAATGCGCTGTACAAGGTACTCCTGGTTGCTGAAAGTATCCAGGAAAGGCAACAGCATGGGCAGCATTGGAGCACAGGTCTGCACAAACTGCTGGTTCTCTGCTGTCTTGCGTAGTCGCTCCAAGCCAACGGATCCGATCTTGAGATCGGCAAGCCCTCGCTGACGGAACACATCATCCACAAAGTTTATTTCCTTCACCAAGCGCTGCAGTATGGTGGTGGAAATCCACTAGAAAACAACAATATAAGTATACAGTTTAAAGGAATACCTAAGTAATAGCTTACAAATCTTAAGTTGGCCACATATTGCGACAGTTTATCTGTGGAAATGCGTTTGATAACTTCTGAATTGCTGTCCTTAAACTGAAAGCCTGCAAACTCCTCGATGGACGAGGGAGCATTCTCGGTAGACACTGGTGGAGCTGGAGCCAATTGGTAAATGGTGGTCTTTAGCATGTAGGCCGCATTGTTGCAGTAGTTCCAGAAAGAGTTGGCAGATACAACGCTCTGCATATTAGGCGCCTCAGAACTATCCACAAAAGAACGTTCTCTCTCGGCTTTTTTCATGAGACGGCCGAGTCTGCGGGGATCGGTAAGGAAGTCATCGCGATAAACATCCGCATAGGGCGACATATAGTTGGACTCGTTGCTAAGGTTGCTGGCGTTCAAAGAGTTGTTATGCACCATGGATGAGTTGTTGTAGGATGTGTTTTGAGGATTCTGCTGATGTGTGGGAGTTCTAGTCGGACTGGGACTACGGCGCATAGACTGGGAGCCCCAGCAAGAGTCTTCGAAGGAGGAATGCCAATTGATGTAGGGCACATCGTCCTCGAAATCGGTATCTGGGTGGTAGCTGCGAGGTTTCTTTGAAGGTCGAGTATACACAGTCTTAAAGGAGTCTATAAAGTGAAAAAGTTTAGATATTTTTTATGTTTGGTAATTTAAAGATGCTCTTACCATCCTTGCCGTCTAGCAGAATCTTTTGCACATCTGTGCCAATCACCTGGTCGCCGCAACACCATAACCACAAATACTTCATAAAACAAGCCGCCGCACTCAGTCCGACCAGGCCGGTAATAGTGCACTCCAACAGAAACCAGTAGGTTTTGTAGACGGAACGGCATGCCTGCCACAAGTCAAACAGCAGTACCGACAGAATCAACACGTTGATGGAGCACCATTTCAGGTAGTGTCTCGCCTGGGCGGTCCGCAAACGAAAATCAAGGCTACGTTGTACCACGGGGCTCTTCCTCAACGGGGAGCTGTAGAAAAAGTCTTTATTAGTTACTGTGGTCTTGTAGGTATAAAACGTACTTACCAATTGCTCCGGGCAAAATTCATTTTATAAAAATATAATTGTTTGTTAAAAATGCCGGAAAATTGTGGCTGTCGTTTCTAAAAGCGCCAACTAGTTTCAGCGCTGTGCAACACGCGGCAAAATACTTTACCAACACTGAAATTTACGTCAAGGAATAGTGTTGAAAAGTGCCCGATAGGAAATAGAGATGGGTCTTTGACAGAAATGGTCATATTGCGCGCAAATTCAAATGTAAACATTTTTGATAAGAATATTTTATTTGTAAAAGTTTTATACGGTAATAATACTAGTTTACAATATTATATCATTTTTTTGCATGAAATTAGTATTTACTAGACATTTTGTGAACTCAATATATTATAACTGGATTTGTGGCATTATTTCAATGGTTTAATAAATTTAATTGCCTCTCTCCGTCTCCTCCGTTTTCCAACAACTGGTGGGCCCACTCCCACGCCAACTCCGATTCCAGGAACCGGAGCCAATTGGAGAAGTAAGGGATTGCTGACCAGGGCAGCGGCAATGCCCAAAACCGTGGCACTGGCTAGAGGAATGAGGAAGCTTTTAGCCAGCAGAGCCTTGGGAGAAATATCCGGAGTTCCCTTGTGGGAGACAATCTCATGGGAATCTACCGGATACGAGCTGTAGGAGTAGTCCACCGATGGGCCTGGATAGTGGACATGATCTGGACGCGGCCTGTAGACATGGTAGGGAACTCCGGCCTCGGCACTGGACGAGTAGCCGTGTCCTGGCGCCGGTCCTGAATCGTAGCCATGGCTATGGGAGGATCCGTAATCATACTGATATGGATGGTTGTCAAAGGCATAGCTTTTTCCTCCACTTCCACTGCCTGCATAGTGACCTTATTGGTAATTGGAAAATATTAGTAGAAACTGAGATACTGACTTGCTTCCCAACTCACCGACACTAATCCGATCCTGTAGCGCTGCTCCTCCCAGCCGCCACTTGTCGAAGGCTTCACTCAGATTCTCGTTGAGGCTGCTCAGCTGGGAGCCTGTTCCAGAACTGTGTATCCCCGATGGAGGCAATGATCCGATTGGCTTGGAAATGAAGCTGGCCGCCGTGCTGTCGGACTTGGAGGGTGTTGAGCCCGGTCCACGATAAAACTCCGGAGGCGGATCATAGCTCTTGGCTGCCGGCGAGCCTATGGGATCCAGCTTCACCACCGCCTGTCGTTTCTGGGGCTGCATCGGCTTCCAGGAGTCCGTTGGCTGGCTGGCATTTTCGGCGGATGCACGGGTGACGAAAAAACAAAAGCAAAGGCCGAGGGCCGGGAGTAGTTTCCCTTGGAACGCGAACATTTCAACTGAGTGCGCCGCCAGGGAGATGTGGGGATTTTATAAACCAAAAACCATGTCGTCACCTGGAGTGGGAGTCAGAGTTGTGGCGACAAATTGCAGTCAGACAATTTCAAATAGCGATTGCTGTTGTCGCCGCTTCGCTGCTGGCATTGAGACGTCTCGGCGGTGCAGTATTTTGGGGAGCGATTAGTGCCGCCAGCTTGGGGAGCTCTTTTGGAGTCGTCGAGTTCTTTCCACACGTCTTTCAACAGGCGGGATTTCATCAGCGGGACCAGCGGGCGTGTAGTTGGCAATTTGTCCCTCTCCGGGATTATTGAAATAACCGAACTCGAACCGGGCCTAGGCCCAAACACCTTCTGGCGGCCAAAATTAGTGGAGTTATTCGCGCCCCCAGAAGCTATGTTGTGTCGTATGGCTTTAATTAAATCATTTCACGCTGCTCAGCGAAGGGGAATGATCGCAGGTGAGGTCGCGGGGCCAAGTTAAGACCCCCACTCTTGGCTAAAAGAAAGTTCAAGATTTTTCAAGGCAGTTGTGGTAAAAGTTACGCCATTCTAAGCCATTTGTAGTTACGAATATTAGGTTGAAATGTTCTTAAAAGTATGATGACTAAGATAATAAAAGTAATCTTGAGCCGAAAGCAGATTTATTTATTTTTTTTTAGACTTTCTATTTTTATACAATTCTGGCATATCCTCGGGATCCGAATCGGAGCCATCTGTAGAGGATAGGTTACCGTTCTCGTCGCCGACAAGTCGTCGCTTCAGGATTTCGAGCTGTAGCATCAGAATATCTGCGACCTTGAACATCCTCCTTACCTTCCGATGGTAGTCCTCCTGTCGATACGTTTCGCTTGGTCCCTCTCTGACGCGGTCGTAGACCCTGACATGCTCCTTTTGGTGGTGATAGTGCTTTACCACCCGTTTCGACGACCAATACCTGACGTTTTCGGCAACGGTGTATCCTTTTCCCTGGTACTTATTCCGGCAGCAGCCGAACCAACCAAAGAAGCGGTTCTTCACATCGGCGAACTCGATACTGAGATACGCGAAAAAGGAGATGCACCGGGTATCATGCTCCTTGAGCTCCTGACCGGATTCCTTGAAGTAATCGTAGATCAGAGAGGCAAACACGTTCATCATGACGATGGCCACGATGAAGACCAGGAACAAGTAGAAACAAAGTCCCAGCCACATGCCGCCGTAAAAGAGCTCAGAGGGCACCATGCCTCCATTAAAGCCCATGGAGTACCTGGAAAGGGGAATTAAATAAAACTTTATAAAGGTGACAGAAGGACTCACCAAAAACAGGTAATAATGGCTCGGTAAAAGTGTCGGAAGAGTATGGCGTTGGAGCCATTGGGCACCGAAGAAGCCACCCCGATGGCCGTCAGAAGGATGACAATGGCCAGACCGAGGCTGGCCGTCGCCCGCCAGGCGGAGGATAGAGTGCGGGTAAAGTGCTGAAAGACGCGGGCGAACTGCAGGACCTTCCACAGACGCAGCGTGGTGGCCGCCACCAGGAATCCCAAGATAATGGAGGTGAGCTGGTCCACGCGCATCGGTCGCAGAAAGTTAAGGTACTGCGCCCGTGTCGCCCTCTCGATCTTATCACACAGCATGATCTTCTCCCACTCGAGTAAGGTCTTCAGGATCACCAAAACGACGTTCATCACGCAGATAAACAGATCCACCATGTTCCAAATCTCCATAATTACCTTCGGGTCGAACCAGAGCTTTACCAACAGGCTGCGCATGAACTGAATCATCAGGATTACATAGAGTGACATGACGAATAGCGATACGGTGCTCTTTTGTGCCGCCGACTGTATCAGCCTCACGCTCTCCACATCCGTGTTGGTGCACTGCAAGCCGAACATGGAGTTCTCCACCCGGAGAGTGACGACCGAGAACACATTCGCATCCGCACTGTAAAGGGTAAAGTCCAGGAACAAAGCCGAGGTGTTGACTCCCATCCAGCTGTAGGAGCGAAGGTACTCGAGCACCTTCAGGGAGTTTATCTTCTTGGCCATCAGGTAGCTGCAATAGCCGCCGCTCTCCGGGTACACATGCACAGCTCCGTAGTGATTGAAGTTGAGCAGGACGCTGTTCAGGAAACTGGATTCCGAGGGGAGGTGCAGAAAGGGATCATAGATGCGCCAAAATTTGTCCTTATAGTGGAGCCGCTGGTAGGGCAGAGTCCATTCGGGCAGATAGTCCCCACTGTCCCATTTCGGATCGTCCAGGCCGATATGGTTAGTCCTGAGACGCATCTGCCGCAGACGCACCACTCCCATGAGCTGAGCCTGATCCATGGCCCACCAATTCCCATTGTTCAAATAGAAGCTTTCAATCAAGGTTTTTTCAATATAGGGAAACACCTAAGGATTAGGGAGTTATCAGTGTAGGTTTGATAGGTCTAAGATCTCCTACCTCGTACTGGAAAAAAATTTTCGACAGGCCCATGGTGTGCTTGGTATTGAAATTAAAGAGCTGGTACATGATATTCGTATTATAGTAGAGCTGCTGATCCACATGGACTACCACTATCAGGAGCAGGCTGAAGAAGTAGCTGCCATAGAGAACGAGTTCCTTGGCAATCCGGCCGTACTTCTCATTCAGCTTCTCGTTCCGGTGCTCTTCGGTGATGAGCAGCTCGGATTTGAAGCTGCTCAGTCGCATCTTCAGACCGTCGAAGCGGGACTGGGTCACCGAGCTCTTCGACACATGGTAGATGGCATCGTCCTGGGGCCAAACAGCATGGTCGAAGGCCAGTATGATGAACTTGATGGGATCGAAGATGAGGTACTGGAGCACCATCACCATGGCTACCACTATCAAGCCATTGGTGTAGGCCTCGCTCTCATGCCGGAAGCCAACAGTAGCGGCGACTGCGATGAAACACACGAATAGGATCAGGGTGGTGATGGCCAAAAAGACGGTATTCTTCGAAGTGGCTGCAGATAGCACCATGGTTGACTTTGCTTTTAGATATCTTAAACCATCTACTATTTAACAGTATTTAGACTTTTAGACAGCGACCTACTTGGTTCGTAGTAAGTTATTCAAGAATCCTCCTCCCAATAATTAAAAATCATTTAATATATTTTTCTTCAACGTAATTGCATTTCATATTGATAGTTTCCACTGGGTATGTATTGATGTATGTATATTTACGTAAATATTAATTTATATGCACAATTCATTAACTTAGTTAACGTTTTCTAAATTAAAGCGGTATTCTTCCGAAAGATCCTCTTTGTATACTTGGAGACGACTAGGTGCTAGATGGTGGATAGATAACTAGACATACTGATATAATGCATATAATACTGGCTGATCGAGACCTCGCAGACAGGCCGGCCAGGATCCGGTAACTGGCGAGCGCTTTCATACATTTTCGGAATTGACTTTTGGCGGCGAAATCGAATCCGGCGACATCGTTGGACACTTAGAACGGAACCCCTCCACGGCTGGAGGAAACACACATGCTATATACGGTTAGATACAAGGGGGTAAGTTGTTGCTTTTACTGGAGATCCACATTAGTTGAGGGCTGAGCCAGCGGAACGCTTGCCCCAGCCTCCGTGGAGCTTCTGCCACTGGTCGCGCTTGCCCCACATCCCCTTCAGGTTGTTCCATGTTGGCTCACGCTTACCCCAGGCCCCCCTGAACTTGTTCCAGCCCTGTGCCTGCCGCCGCTTGCCCCAGGCCACGTTCATGCTCTTCCAGGCCCGTTTCTCCACCTCCCCATCCGCCCCCAACTCGTCCAGATCCTCGCCAGACTGCATCTGCGACTGCGGTTGCTGCTGCTGCGCCTGTCCGCTGGCCAAGCGCTCAAAGGTCTCCCAGTCAATGGTGTTGGTGCCGTCGGTGATGACCAGCGGCACAAAGTGTCCGGTCATGTAGATGTCTGGGTCCCCCGAGTCCGCCCGCTTACCCCAACCGTTCTGCAGGGACTGCCAGGCCCGCTTGCTGTTCCCGTACAGGTCACCGTCGCTAAGCTGGTCCACCACCACCTGTTCGGTTAGGCCACCAGGTCCGCCTGGCTCCGAGGCGGAGGCAGGACTGGCTACACTTCCACCACTGGTTAAAGTTCCGCAGGCGCTGCCCAGGATAAGCAGACCCAGCAGAAAACCATAATTCCTTCGTGTCTTTATATAGGCCATATCTGGAAAAACATAGAAATTTAAAAGGAATCAAAAAATAATCGAAAGATACCCTCAAAGTAAACAAATAAAAATAAAACCCATTTAAATTTAAATACTTTTCTATTTTTTAATAAATCCCTTACTGCATTACTTTATAAAACAATTAAATTAAAGAACGAATGACGCAAAACCAACGCTATTGGATAGAAAATCCTCCCAGTGCAGAGGTGTAAGCCTGAATCAGGAATATGAATGAATGCCAGGGCAGTGACTGATCCTGTGGCAGGAGCTCGACCACAAGGCAACGCGGAATGCTCAATTAAGCCGCCGGCAAACTCCACTCGACTGCTCCCTGGGGGTCCTGGTCTGCGTGGAGTCCTGCGGCAATCATTTCCGCCTCCGTCCGCGCCTCAAAATTACTACAACACGCGCAGAGCGAGAACAAGCGTAACGATTTAGCTAAATAACCTCTCTAATTGAAAGCGGTGGGGGCCTACAGTCGCTAGTCGCTAGGTGGGGATGGATGGGGATTCCCTCCTGGGCAGGATAACTGAGGTCATGCCGTCTGTCGACCGCTGCGCTTAAAAGGCAGCAGCGCATAACAGTTACAATTTATGGCCTATTAATGTTCCTCCGAGGTAGCAACCAGCGGGTGGGGGCTGCCAGCGAATGGAATGGAATGGAATGTGTGTAGGCCTGTTATCCTGGAAGAGGATGGGGCAGAAAAGCCAACGCAGCGGAATGGCTGAGGAATGCCACCTAGCTTACAGCCGGAATCCGAGTCGATAATGATGCTTTAAAACGCTAATATACTCCCAGATAGTCAAGATTATGGCCGTGTTTACTTTACGGATTAAGTGCCTTGCGATTGCACTTGCGGCCACTCGTGGAGAGTGCAGACAAAAGTGGCATCCTCTAGAGGATTTAGCGAAAGCTAGAGAAGGAGCAGGACCTTATTGTTGTCTGTTTGCATTTCCTGCCAAAGTAGTTTTCGCTATGCGTTCGCATGTGCCACGCAACCATATTGATTTGCATACACACTCCCACCCACACACTCCCTCACATCCTTCTCGAAAGAGACTCGAAGGAAGCGGAAATGACGTCGCATTATGCAGGAATTATGTTTCATTATTGAGCATTTGGTAGGAGACAGGCAAATATTTGCGAAAACAGCTCAATACCTAATTTCTTATTCACGACAATGACGTTATTTGTTGGTAATACCCAGTAAGTTGAAATATTAAGCGTTTTAAAAATGAGAATACATTGAACTAAGTAGTTTGAACTAAGAAAATTATTTATTAAAATAAACTATACTCATTATGATTCTCACCAGGGTGTTATAGAATTGTTTAACTAAAACTAAAGATGAGATGCTTATTTAAAATTTATATACTAAAAACATAAGAGTCTTAATAATCTATAAAGTGATACTACTCATCAAATACATTACTCCTCAGAATAAATGATAAAATATAAATATACAATACATAAATTTAAAACAATTCATGAAAATGTCAGAGTCTAAGCCCCCTATCTATAATATCTATCAAATTCAGGTAAATTATCTGCCTCACTTCATGCAAATAAGATTAGAAGTATATATTTCAGCCTAATTAACAAATCTAATTCCCCGGCCGTCGCCATCTATGATCCCACCGAGCAGCTGGTAGGCGCCAGCATGGAGCAAGCAAGTCATCCACAAGGAATCAACTATTCAAAGCCTCGCAATCCCTGACCCGGCAGGGGAGGAGTCCTATCTTATCTACCGGCGGCCTGTTGCCTGATTAAATGATGTTGGTGGCCGGGCTGTCCGCCTCTATTGGCCAACTAATTGCCGGCCGCCAACCCGTTGGACGCGGATATGTCTCCTGACTGATTGTCCTGGCTGGCCTGAGTGGAAAGCCAAGTTGGCTTAGCAAGGACTTAATTCGTGTGCTTGTCGTTGATTGATTGACGCCGCCCAGATGAAAGTTTCGGCGGCTTTACGCCAAATTATAATATATAGCCACCGCGATGATAGAGCACGCATCAAATTTTATGACCACACGCAAAGTAGGAAGCCCAGGATCTCACATCGATTCCCAGGATGTGGGGCAACAACGTGCCGGTCAACTTGTAATTGAAATTAACTGAAAATATTTATGGCCTTTTGTGGCTGACAGTTTTTCGGATTCCGACCAGCTCTGCTCCATTATTAATTTCCCAGTCTGTCTCGGAATAATTCATTTGGTGTCAGGGCAGAATCGTGAGTCCTGAGTCCTCAATCCTCTCGTCTACTTCAAGTTTATTTGGCAAACAAATTGAAATGAAATTTTCGCGCCAAAATTAAACAGCTCAAGCTGGAGCTGGAAATCGAATTTGCCTGCTAACCGACTATCCTGGTGTATGTATAGTACGTCTTCGTCTCGATAAATAGCTCCGGCAAATATTTGCCAAAGGATGGCATTTGCCAATAAGTATTTTGTTTAAATAGGTTTCCTGCCGAAACCCACGCTAAAAAAAGAACTCCTCTTCGGCGCTGGTGCTGGTGCCAAATGAAAATCTTTCAGGGGACATGGACATTAGCGAAAATTCGTAAATAAACAAAATATCCGCAAAAGAGTAAATATTCAGCTCGTCTCAAGCAGGTTAGACTTGGTGGTGGGTGGGCTGGTTAGAGTCCATCCTATCCGGGGCTATTGTTTGGTCGAAGGAGTTCTGCATAATTTAGCCATGTTTCGCAAACATATTGTGCGCCGATGAGCCGACGGAATTTTCGGAAATTTTATTAAATTTTCAGCTAATTTTGGCCATGGATTTTTCATTAATAATTTAAGAACTTAAAGTTTGTTTTTCAAGCCTTTAAGTAATTAATTAACTAATTTTGTGACCTTGTTTAATGGTATATATTTGGTATATAATTTTGTTAAAATTCAATTTTCTATCTAAACCTAATAAACCTAGATTTTAGTTAAAAGGTTTTAGTCTAAAGCTTTTGTTTAATAGACATAGACAATTGTCAAATCGAATTAAAATCTCTACAATTAAACCACAAACACTAGTCTAGAAAAACTTTTCGCTTTTGGAAAATCATTTCCTGTTGCCCACAATCGAATTATAGAACCACTCACCTGAGTATATATTTGTTCACAATTTCAGTGTCCTTCGTAGGTTTATTTGCGGTTTTTCAAAGGGCAACCCGATTGCAGCCCAGTTGCGTTTTGAACCGTTCTACAGGTACTGCCTGCCTTTATTTATTCAATTCTTTTTTTTACACATAAATGAATTTTCAGGTCCGAGAGCAATTCAATTAGCGTGTGAATTGGCTTTCCCACAGCTGGATTGTTCCTTTCTTTTTTTTGTGGATTTTTGGAGCTGGCTGCTTGTTGGCAAACCTGTTGATCTACGGCTAATGATACGCAGCCCGGTGCGGTGCTCGTTTATAAATCAAAGCGGAAGCCAGCCGAACGGAACCGAATCGAAGTTGCACACTTCGGCTTGGCTCGCGGAGGACTGCTCGCTGCGCACGCACACAATGGCAGCAGGATGTCCGATTGTCAGCGGAAGTGGCCGAAAAGTGAAAAGTGTGTTGCCTACTTAGCGGGGTATCGATGTGTGTGGCTGCCTCCAACTAGCTTTTGTGTGTGTGTGTGTTTATTACATATTCTTGTCGATTTGATGGCACACATGCGCGGACCACAACAATTGTTTATTTTTGAGGAGTCACCAGCCAGTCCCTCCCCAGTCCCCATCCTTTCGTCCCGATCCCCTGGGGAGCTGCGTGGGCCTTGGACTCATTCAAATTCAGGTACATGCCCTCCTTGGGGCATTTAAAATTAAACACTCCGCACTTACAATGGCATGAATGGCTGAAAAAAAGGACCCTATTCCTATTGGCAGGATGGCACTCAGCGAGAGCATATTGCATATTGCATTTCTTTGTCGCCGGGTGGCAATTGACCAAGCAAATACAATTCCAAACCGTTGCCACCTACTCGAACTTGCCACACGCCGGCATGCTCCTCCTGCTTCTCTGCCTTGCGACATCTAAGCATCCGGACGGGAACCCTTTTAGTGCTTCATGAATATTTATGGCGATATCGGGACGCCTCCGACATCCAAAGCACTGTTGTTTTCCTTCTAAAAAATGAAGGAAAACGTGCACCTTCAATTACAAGTGTTGCCAAAGTACCTATGAAATACACACGCATCCCAGTGTGTGTTCGGGGCGACATCAACAGGTTTTCATTTGCGGGCATTTGATGGGCGCTCCGAATAAACGATGATGGGAATATTTATGACACTGCTCTGCCGGTCCGTATAATGAATGGGCCATGCGAATGGGACATACCCCCTTCTAACCTGGCAGCCATACCATTCCCCACACCTTTAGCCTTTTTCAGACGATAAGCTACGTAGTTACTAATTGATTTGGCTTCTGATAAATCGCTGCGGTATCGGAGAGTACCGGTGACAGGTACATGTGTTCCACCTGGAAAAATTATAGTTAAATAATTGGGGGTTTCTTTTTATTGAAAGTTAGAAATCTTTGAAAACAGCTCTGAGTTTAAGCGCTATTAAGCTATTTGTTTCTGAAATTATAGGCTTTTTGGACGTGCTTCCAAATATTTTCTATTATTTTACCTAGTATTTATTTTACCCCCATTTTTTTGTAGTGTCCCCGAAGGGGTTTTGGAGTGCAGCAGCAGCAGCAACTGGAGCAGCGACGACTGTAAATCATTTTCATTTACGTGTCTGGCCTAATTGCAGTCATCCGATTGGGACCTTTGAGCGATCTATTTGGTACGTCACCACTAATGTTTCATTTGCATGGTGACAAAAGTGAATTAAATGGGTTTGGTGTGACTTGAAGGCGGAACTGTCGCACAATGGCAAATTGCATTTAAATGGAATGGAAGCCTTGCCTTGACCACGACATTTAGTAGTGCTCCCACTACCATGACCTTCTCATTCTCCTCTCATGCATCCTCTTCTCCTTATTTCGTTGAAAAGTCCACATCTACATGGGAATCCCTTGGTGGTTCCATTGTGAAGATGATGTAGTTGACGCTGTTGGCAGCTAATAATAATTTGTTTGCTCTTTGCATATGCCATCTGGACACGAAGGGCAGTCTATAGAAAAGCCAAGGAAGAAAACATTCAACCCTATACATTTTATTTTATTTTATTTATACTTATTTAAAATATTAAAGGTTAAAAATTGTAATGTGGGTAGTAGAAATAGTTCTATATTTATTCATTCTGTTAAAACTTAAAAGTTAGAATCTAATATCTATATAAAATAAAAATTAATAATTTATTATTATTTATAAGAAAGTGATTATGAATCCTATTGGAAAACTTATTACGTTTTAAATATGGCGCCTTATCACAGTCCAATTGGAAACAGCTGACTGCCTGCCTATCGGTCTGCACACATCTCCAATTGCAAACGGTCACATTGAGGTCAACCAAAATAAAAATAATGCCGGCTGACAAATAATTTAATTTACTTAATATCTAAGATGATAAGAACACCCTAAAATGGATGTAATCCTACCGCAACAAGTGCATGATGCACAGAAGTTCCTGGATTGTGCGGAGAAACTGGACTACGATGAATTCGAAGCGGTAAGAAATGACCAGTTTCCTAGAACACACATTTCATCATATATATTCTTTTTCTTAGAAAATGTTCGTTTTCTGCTATGCTAGCTGCGATGTTGATGTATTCGAGTTGATGGGCAATGACCGACTGTCGCAACTAATTTACGGCTGGGAGGTATGCCAACTTCAGGCAAGGACATGCTATCAGGAAGAGTCACTGCGTCATATCGTCAATGTGTTGGCGCACCACTCGCTGCAAATGTGGTTCAGCCAGGAGTGGAGAACGTGCTCCGAGGGTCTCAAACACATGCTTCTTTATTGCTTAACCAAAGCAGTGCCGGCTTTCTACCAGATGGAGAATCTGTGCCAAATCAATTGGCCCTACGTGCTGAAATTGCAGACGAAACCTTGGAACGTACCCTATTTGCAGGATGTGTTTAGGAATCTTCACCTGAAGAAACAGCATTCCATTGAACACGCAGTTCCCGCTGCCACAGATGCGGGTAATAGCCAACAAAGTCATACAGGAACCACCTCTTAACCTCGATGTACTTTCCAGATATCACATTCCTCCTGGAAGATGGTTTAGAACTAATCCTCCTTCGACTTATGCAGCTATTCAACGCTGGAAACTTTGAGGCTTTGAAGCAGCTATCCCTTCGTATGCTCGCTGCTTGGTTGAAATCCAAAGCCAAGGAACCATTTGAGTCCTTAGTACAGGACACCAAGTCCATAACCCTTATAGGGCATCTCTACCTCTTGACTGTGTTTGTCAATGATGAAAATCGAGGCTATGCTATTGATAATTTAGTAAGCAACAAAAGCTGGATATATTCATTTAAAAATTCTTAAAAATCCCTTTTTTTAGATGTACAATATTCGTTTTTATGCCCTGACTATGCAAGAGGCTCCTGTCTGGGACGAAATCAACTTGACACCAGCTCGCCTTATTGCCCAGGTCTGCCTACGACTACAACTCACTAAAAGTGGCTTTTTCGAGCAGATAGCACTCAAAAAATTCAAGCTTAACCTGGTTACTTCCTTTGCCGTGATGATGGATGCCTACACCAGCTATGTGCTGGGGAACCAGTTGCTAGAGCTAATGTCTCTTAATGAGCATGATTTCTTGGAAAATTTACCGCAGTTCAAAGAACTAATGTATCGATATGTGGTGGAGCGCGAGGGCAGTGAACGATTTTTGCTGGAAGAGCTCAACAAGCTGGAGCAACAACGAAACAGCCACTATCACCCCCAAGTGGTGAGCTATAATCTGAATTTTCAACAACAGATCTGCAAGGGCAACCGAGCCAGCAACATTGGCAACTACAAGAACTGCGACGACGATGAGAAGCCGGTTCTGGAAACGGACGAGGAGCAAGACAGGCAGATAGATCCCGTCTTCCAGAATGTGCCCAACAATGAAGAGGTTCTTACCTTTGTTTATAAACTGTTGGCTGAACGGGTGAGTTAATGATAAAGCCTATTTTAAAAATTAGTTATTAAAATGTTTTGTTTTTCAGAATTTTACGGGCTGGAAGTTTGCCAAGATTGCCCTGCTCCTGAAGATTATTGGCCAGCAACTGAATGCCATTGAAATTTGGCGCTATCATCCCGGTTTGACCACCGAGTTTATGTTGAATCTAGAGCAGAAAATGTCGCAGAACTATGCTGATCTGGCCAAGGTATTTTCGGAGCACGCCTTTATGGAGGCAGAGTTCTGGCTGACGGCCTTCTACCTCAATCCAATAAATGTTAACTACAACGAAGTTAAGCGCTGTTCTCGCATCAAGAAAAAGCGCCAGGAGGATGATACCTGGCAACGAGCGACAGCAGAGCATAGCGTTAAATATGAACTCCTCAGCTCCACCATCGATGTAGATGAGATAGTAACGGTTACCAATCATAGTGCTCCCGTGGGAGACTACGATCCAATATACAAGGCACTTCAAGCCCTTCGGTTGCCTCGCAGTATTATTAAAGACCTCCTAACGGTGGCGTTTCAGCCTCGTAATAAGCGGTACTCCTGGGCCCTGGACTGGTATACCCTCCATGAACGTTGCTCCGCGTTGCTCAAGAGCAAGGACTTGAAGAACAAATTTGTGGCTCTCAACATGGCCGAGGCCAACGATCGATTGGAGTTTCTGAAGATTGACTATGCCAAGTACAAGGATCGGCCGCAGCTAGATTATGGTACTATAGAGGAGGGTTATGAGAACGCAGCTCATTTGGGCACACCGGAAGTGGAGCCAGAGGCAGAGACAGTAGCGACAACAGTCGAGGAGGATGTCAAGGCCAGTCAGCAGAAAAGGAGGCGACCCGCAAAACGGAAGTTTTGGGATGAAGGTAGGAATTGTAACCTGTTTTTGAATCTAAATGACCTACAGAACTTAATAATTTCAGTGCTTTCGGAAGATGAGGAGGAGGAGGTGGCAAGCTCAAGTGGTTCGGAAGCCGTATACACTGGAAACGGTCGTCGTAAACGAGTTCGTGCGGCTGCCATGGTGGCCAATGCTATGCTCTCTGACATGGACCGATCGGTACGTTGCGGACGACGATCCAGCTCCCCATATGCCATAGAAACTAAACAAGAATCTGAGTCAGAACCAGAGCCAGAGCCAAAAGCTCCGGTCGAACCACAAAAACCCTCAACCCCCAAAGAAGTCACTATGAAGGAGGAAAAACAGACAATAGGCGATCTGATGGAGGCGCGAACTAAATTCAGTAACGAAACAAGCGGCTTCAAGGCCTTTGCCGACATCTGGAGCTTCGAGAAGGAGGAGCTGCAGAATGTGGAGAGTACTGGCAATACTCTGATGGAGTGCAGCTCCGTTCTGAGTAAATTCAAGAACCTGCGGGCCTTGAGACAAAACGCAGCCACACGGACACCACCTTCAGAACCGGTACCACAACCATTAGCATTGGTGAAACCGAAACTGGAACAACCACTGACCCAAGAGGACTCTCCTCAGAATGCAACTGAAACCGATTTCGACAATCAGAGTGCTAACTCAGAGACCTCCACAATGGCTACACATGACTTTAATGGCGAGGACGATGACGTTTTTGATGATTTGCCCGCTGCCAGTGGAGATCATTCATCTCAAGGTATTCCCACTGTGGATTTTACGAAGGATTCCGTAGCGGTGCAGCCCAGCCAAGGTAGGGAAGAGGAACTCAATGCAGGAGGCAAGCTGAGAGAAGCACTCACAGTACAGGGGACAAAAAACTGTGTTAACGAGGGGGATTCTTTGGAACTCACTGAGGAGCTAACTGAGAAGCTAATTGAAGAGTTAACCCAGGATGAACCCGATGAGCTAGCTACCGTCAACTTGTTTTTAAAACAAAAAAAAGAACCAGAAGATAAGCAAGGTGAGAAAACGCAGGAAGTAATACAGAACGCACCAAAAAACCCAGCCGACCTGCCAGTCCAGAAGCCAGAAGCACCTTCAACATCTTCAGGCTTATCCGCAACCTTTCCAAACATAGACGAGGACACCGACACTGCCGAGGAGACACTACTCGAGGAAGAAAAAGTCCGAAAGGCGGAAATTAGACGCTTGAAAACCTTAGAAACAAAACCAAATTATAGTATTTTTTGTGGCAAATCCCAGGACTTGGAACGAGAACGCCTGATTCAGGAGTGCCTGAGCCGCACGGCAGAAGTGCGTCTTACCAAGCTGACGCCTCTGGACATTGAGAAGTTACGGGGATTTAGAGTACGGATTAAGCGCACCAATCTGGTGAACTTCTGCCGGGACCAACTGCAGCGTAAACGCAGAAAGTTCCCGACGGGCCGGTACAGTGAGGATAGTAATGCATCTACGCATAGCTCTGAGCTCAACCAAGCTGGCCGCAAGCGGTATAAACAGTTCATACACATTACTTCCGATTCACCGGGATGTTCCGCTTCGCCAAAGCCAGTCTTTAAAGCCGTTGCCTCCGACTCCTCCACAGATCTTGAAGAGGTGCCGGTACCGGTGATTGCAGTCAGGAAACGTGGTCGTCCACCAGGACCGCGTTGCAAAGTCAAGAAAATTATTCGTCCCATAGCCATAGCCATGAATCCCATAGCCCATAGCCATCCCCCAGCCGATGTGATTGAGTTGTCGTCTGATTCGTTCTCCTCCAACTCACCGGTGCCGGTAATCAGCATCCGAAGGAATCACTTTACGCAAGCGATGGAAATGGATCCGCTCTACGAGGAAGAAATCGTTCCCTTCTAACGTGCCGGCAAGGAGCAGCTAGAATCTAGCCCTCCGGCGAGGTTCTACGTGCTCGGAACGAATGCAAGGTCCAGGGGTTGCAGGAAAGGCTATCGGGATGAAAGAGAGCTGCAGAGTGAGAAATGGAGAAAAAATAGGGAAAACCGGCAAATCGAATTCGGTTCGCTTGTTAGAATGCAATTAGCCCGAGGCATATATTTGGTATTTGCTTTGGCTGGATTCTGATGAAATTATGTGCGTGTACATCTGTTTGTCCAAGTCCCCGGCTGTGCTATTGTGTTTCGGTCAGTATTTTGACTGACGACGGCCGGAAGGCTTGTGAAAAAAAATATTATTTCGAGTCCTGGAAATTTAAACGCATCCACACTTCTATTAACTGCCTAATTGATATGCATTGTGGTTATAAAAAAAACCAAATTAGCTACACGCGTCGGAGGAGCACTTGAACAGCCATGAAGAGTGTGACGACGTCGGCGACACGTGGCTGTTGGTGTGAACTTTGGTGGGCAGGCATGATTGGGGATGATTATGTTAGGTTTAAAGTTTAAAAGAAGCGTATATAAACTTAGTTTTAAGATAAAAAGTATATTATGCAGTTGCAGTCAATGTAAAAAACTTCTTACTTCTAAACTTCTATTAACTTATTTAAGTGTTTTTCCTTTTTTGAATTTTTTTGAAACTTTTTGTAAGTGCCATTTAGATATTGAAGAAATGGTTACCATATTATGTACATCCTTGAAGGTCATCACAATTACGTATTAAAATATTAAGAAATAAAAAACATGATGAAACTATTCTTAAAAATTCCCACGAGTAATCAATTATCCATTTTTCCCAGCTCTTCATAGTCCTATCATCCAATTAGCATCCTTGACACTCTCGAGTTCTCAAGGTTCACGTGTTGGTAATTTGCGGCGATAGCTACATATCATAACAAACCCGCACGTGTCACCAGTTATAGCCTCCACAATCTCCAATTTTTCCGATCCTCCTTGCAAGGATTTGGCAATAGATAGAAATCCCACTGAGCTGGCACACTTGGCCACTTGAGCAGCCGTTTAGACCGCGGCACGTGCCAACGCCTGGATCAGAAGGATGTAGAGGATATACATAGGGGGAGGGCCATACTTGAGCTTGGGAGGCAGTGTTCACTGTGCACATGTTGCATTTTCGGAAGTGGGTGAAGTGGGTATCCTTTTCGGCCACGTGCCACTAACCCGTTTAGCGACAAGCGTAAGCCCTAAACGATTATTGTGGTTTTGTGGCGAAAACACCGAAAGAGTTGCTGGTAATTGAATCGTTGGAAGTGCAATCGCATTAAGCTTACTTCAATTGAACTTTGCGATAAAATTAAAAAGCATTTCAGCAGGAGAATGATTTCAAAATACTCTTTTTTGAAGTATTTTTTAAACTTTTATTTGTGGTTAGAAAATAAAACACTGATTACTAGAGTTGGGATATACAAATGTTGATGATTTTATTGTTCTTATTGGAAAATAAAGGATTATTATCTTTAAAAAATCTATATAGCTACAAACAGGCTGATTAGAACAAAAAAATAGCCAGAATCTAGGACCTTGAATCTAGAGGATCAAGAGTCAAGAAAATATGACTATTGCTTGGAATTTTATCATAATATCCGTTCATCTTGAGTTAAAAATCTACAATAACCTTTGAAAGGGTATGTCCATGTTGCAATCTCCAGGGCCTAAGCTTTGATGAGTCCACTGGCGACACCGCTGATCCTCGGACTCAGCCATCCTTCCGATTGGCTTAGAGAGCACCGCTCGGCGGTAGAGCGTGAAAAATGCTCGTATTCTGACTGGTAGCAGGAATGAATCTCCGCCAGGTTTTGGCCCGTATCTCCTTAGTGAGCGAGCTGAGCTATAATGGTGGTGGTGATGATGGTGGTGATGAGGAACTAAAAGCCACCCCCGGGCGACAATCACGGCGCATATCTTTTGGGATTTGAGCTGCCGAGCTGTGCTCTGTTTTGTGTGTTATGGCGCCGCCACGACCGACGACAATGCGCCGAGGGTTGTTACCGCTGGAACAGCATGTAGACCGGACCCAAATCAGCGGGCTTAATGGCTGACTGGCACATAAAACCGGTGCGCACTCCATTCCAGCTTTTAGTTGGTGCGGGCACGCGAGACGAGAAACGAGACCAGCGATACTCTAAAAAGCGGAAATCGGAAATGAGCGAATTGTGACCACAGGAATACAGTTATACACTTACACGGAATATCCTTGGGATCATGTCTGCTTGCTACAGTGGCTACACGCCGGCCTCGCAGTCCTTCGACTTTGACGAGGACGATGACGATGCATCCTTCGACAGTGGCTACGAAAAGAGCTTCGAGACGGATCCGGGCCATATAAGTTCCCGCCGGCGTCTGGACTTTGATGGCACTTCGCCAGCTCCGGCGGCGCAGATTCCCTTCGGGACTGGAGCCTGGGATGCAGCCGCACCACTCAACTCCCCTCCGGCCGCTGCAGGATTCGTGGGGTTGCTGGACACCAGCAGTAATCACAGCACCCGAAGCGGAAGGACTCTGGTGGAGCACCTGAACAGTCGCGCCTCGACCGGAGCCTTCGATCCGTCGTTCACCAGCACGCCGATGAAGTCGCCGGAAGATCCGGATGCGCCCCGTCCTAAGCGCAAGTATGCCGTCGGCAAGAACCGAGTTACCAGATCACGTAGTCCCACTCAAGTGGTACGGATCAAGCGAGTCCGCCGGATGAAGGCCAACGATCGGGAACGGAATCGGATGCACACGCTCAACGATGCTCTGGAGCGACTGCGGGTGACGCTGCCCTCCCTGCCGGAGGAGACAAAGCTGACCAAGATCGAGATCCTGCGCTTCGCCCACAACTACATCTTCGCGCTGGAGCAGGTCCTGGAGAGCGGGGGCTCCATCAACCTGGATTTGGAAAAGCTGCAGAACTTTACGCTGAGCGGGGAGAGGATTACCAAGGAACTTTTCGATGCGCTCTTTGTGAATCCCCAGCCGTTTCAAATGTTTGGTGGCAGGATGTTCCACTACGGCCAGGGTCCGCTCAACCAGAATCAGCATCCTCTTGGCCATCCCATGCATCCTTTGCAACAGGATCAGTCGGCACCGCAGGGAATGGGCTATCAGCAGGGATTGGACTATCCGTCGCAACAGCATCCACCTGGATTTGACTTCACGGGAAGCATGCGGTTCTACCATCATCACCAGAAAGAGCATCCTCATCCGCATATACAGCCTCCTCAGCTCCAGCAGGAGACCAGTCCTCAGTTTTCACAGGAGAAGTACGACATCTTCCGGAGCACCTTCGATGCAGCCGCTAATCTCCAGCCATCGAATCCTGAATCAATGCACCAGCAGAGTAGTTTCTACACCCAGACGCCACCTTGGAAGGACTACCAGGAGGATCATTCGCACTACAAGCCGTTTGCTCCACAAGTATAGCATATACTTTAGGACACGGAGTTTTGGGGCTTATCTAGGAGGTTCTTCCGGGTGATATATTTTAAGGGGCTTGGAAGGGAACTGATGTAGAAGAATCCCCACAACCGATAATCCCCAAGACTTACTTTATTTAACAAAGTAACTCCTGGGTATTATCTAAGGATTTCTTTTATTTCACTTTCCTCGTACTTCTAAAAGGATATTAAGGTTTCTTAGTAGAATGCCAAGATCTTCTAGAGTTTGTAATTTAAGTATTATAAACTTTATTTGATCTTAGCATTTTCATACCTGTAATCTGATTTTCAAATAAAAGATCAATAGATTGATTTTTTTTTTTGAAAATCTTTTAAGAATATTTGGTATAAAAGTGCTTTGTTTGTAAGGCATTTTTCTTCTCAAAATATTCCAACAAATCCTTACTTATATAGTACAAATCGGTTGTCCAAGTACCTTGCCATCGTAGCATTAAGTCTTATCCTCTATCATAATATCAGGTATTAGCCTTAGTCTGCTGTACAATCGATGATCTTTATAGGTTATGCCAGATTCTATATCAATTATTGCAATGCAAGGAAAGCGAGCTAGTCAGGACTACAACATTAAGGTGATAAGATTGAATTTCGATGTAAAGCCATACTAATTTATTTTTGCAAATAAAGTTGACGATCAAAACGAGCCAGAAAATTGTGTGTTATTCGGAGGGGGAATTTACAAAACTCCTGGCAAAGTCAAAAATACTAGTAGCCAAGGCAAACAACCCTGAGCAGGGAATCTGTATGCGTGCGGATTTGAGATCCCAAAACAAAGGACTTAAACTCAAATAAATATTGTATATTGCAGTGCACATAAAGGGAATGGCTTTGCTCTATGTCTATGTGTGTATATTTTTATTGTAGGGGGCATTTTTGCGCCCTTAAAATTCGACATGGGGTGAGTTCTCCCAGTTCGGAGTTCGAAGTTCGAACAATGCCCGGAGATTGCCCGCCCGTCACCTGCCACGCCACGGAATTACAAAACGAATGTACCAGGAGCAGCAGCAGCAGCAGCGGGCAATCCTGAAACATGAGCTGCAAGGACGTAAGGCAGTGGACCTGCATGAATGCCACTCAAATTATTTAGTTGAACGAACCGGCAAGAGTCGAGGGAAAAGTACCCAAATGCCTAACTGCCTCACTGACTGAATGACTGACTGACTGACTGACTGGATGGCTGACTGGATATTTTCCGTTACCAGGCAAGGGTGAGAAAGGATGCCAAGGATGCTTAAACTCTGGCAAGGACTTCAGTAATCTTAAAACTGTAATTACAGCAATGGAGTGTCTCTAGTACGGCTTAAGTTACCCCTCTTGATTTCTTTACATTTTATATTTGAATAAGTATTTCATTAAAATAATATATATTTGAATTAATAAAATATCAGCTGCGGGCTACAGTAGTTTCCAGATATACAATAGATGGCCTGCATTCCATCTTCTAAGCCGACGTTTGTCATTTGAGCAGCTTTGTTGGAGGTGTCGGGGATTTATCTTTACAATAATCATTATTGGGACCGGCATGGGCCCGTTGTCCTGTTGTCCTGTTGTGTGGCAAAGGCGCAAATACGCAGCGGGTGTGCCAGCTAAGCTGCATTCAATTTTCAGGACTCCGGCTGAGGGAATCCGGGAAGGGATGTGTGGTAGATGAAACCTGGTACGGGCTGCTGCCATCATTAGCAAGCTGCTTGCTCCCTGGCAGGGTGGCTTCGTTTCGATTCTTATCTTTGGCTCAGTGACGACTACTCCCTCTTTTTATTTGATCCTGAATGCTAATGCACTATGAGGCTGCCAGGAAAACAATTTGGCGATGGCCATAAGGCGATAAGCAGACCAAAATGGAAACAAATTGTCATGGACATGCTAAAAGGCGGAAACACAATGGCAGGACTGTGTACCTTGAACTGCGTCAAGTGCAGGTCCTTGGAGGGCAATTCATATGCGGTCCGATGAGATTGTACAAAGGATACGGTTTGGTGGTTATTGGAGAGCTCAAATCCCAGATAGCCCAAATATCTCAGTATTTTGTTTTATTTCTGAGATTAAGCGATGCAAAAAATCACAAGTGTCTTTCGAAATAATTTTTTTATCGATCTGATAAAAATAATGGTTGTTAGGTTCGTCATTTTTTTTCCCTCCCAAGACGATAAAAGGAATAAAAACGAATCCTCAGAGGAATAATATTTTATGGTCTTCAGTTATTGAGAAATTATTTAAAGAATGTCACAAATTATTTACTTTGGAAAAGTATGGTTTATAAATATTAAATTCCAATAGTTTTGGGGGTCAAAAGTCTAAAAAAAAAGGAGTCACATTTACCCTTTAACCCTCGCCAGTACAAGCATGAATTATTTAGATCATATATCACATCATTTCATTCCAGACGGCACTATGGCAATTTGTCCTTGCCTTTTTTTTTATCGCAATTCCCATTTCGCAGATGGAATTTTATTTGCTGAATTGATTGTTTTACGCCTTTTTAGCAAGAAGTTGGCACACATTTCTGCCGAACCCTTTCCCTTTACACGTGCAAGGACTCGGCTGGTTGCCCATACCCTTCCCTGACTTCAGGATATTTTTACCCCTTTATTTTTTGTTGTTGTTGTGTACCCCTGATCAAACAACATCCTGAGATTCGCTCTGGTGCTGCAGATACATGTTCGCTTTTTTAGCGGCAAGTTGCTCGACCTTTTTACCATTCATTGCCCTGCTCGAATTGGTTTATCTGTGAAATCTGTGACGTTCTCTGGTTGATGTTTATGTGGACCTTTCGGGGTGTATTCGATACTGATCCAAAAAAAAAAAAAGTGTACCTACATGTATGCATGTCCTTTCTACCTTTGCCGCTTTCGAGTTGTGTGCTCATCTAACCGAAAAACATTGGATAAACAAACAGCCGTTCGAGTATTTTGTTACATTTTAGTTTTCGAACCCCGGGCAGGACCTATTTTGTTTCCATTCCTCGCCAGAAAGGAGCGATTGAAGCCAATCTGGCACATTTGTGTTCAGTGGATAAGCGGGAAACTGTAAAATGTTATGCAAGCCCTGATTTTTAATCCGATCAAAGCGGTTTTAGTCAAATTTAAGCAGATTTATGTCACATTGTTATACCAGAAAGTGGTGCACTGTCTGGGGAAAAGAATAAAAACATGAAAATGCTAACACATGTAAATCAAGAATCAGATAACTATATATCCAGTGAGGGATCCTCTATTAGGCAAATCGAATTGAGATCATGTTCTGATAAAAGCTGAAAATTTGATTCGAGTTGCGGAAAAAATTGTTACAAGCCCTTGGAAGGGTGAAAATTAAATATTGTGGATTGCTTCCTGAAATACTACTGATAATTATAACTCCCTCAAGGAAACCTAAGCAGATTGCAGGATCTTGTTTAAATAACATTCAAACTTAATGTATTTGGTCTCAAGTTAATAAAGTTAGAACTCACTCAAGCGTATCATTAAAAAATGAAACATTTCCTTTTTCTGAAGACAAAAAATGGATGCACACTTGGATGATTATTTAGTGGCATTTCCTAATTCAAAAATCTTAACAACCCCACAAAAGAATCATTTTCTGTAAAGCCAGTAACATTCAGTAAATGGCAAAATAAAAAAAAGAAACGAACATTTCAAATATATTCCTTTTCCAAATGAATAAACTGTTAGACAAACAATCCATTAAAGTTTACAACTTCACACCCGCTGCCAGGGCCCGAAAAGGACACCCTTCGTCCTAGCGAAATGCCCAAAAAAAAAGGAGTGGTAGCTCTGGTGGCAGTGCCACAAACGATGAGTTGATTGTTATGCAAATGAGATGAAACCAGCAACCAGGAACAACGAACCAGGACGAAATGCGAGAGGAAAACCCCCTCGGAAACCAACTCGGATTCAGATTCAAATTCAGCTGCAGTTCATCAAGTGGTCATAAATCTATATGTAGTTCTGGAGAAGCTGCCTAATTACTATGCAGCGCCATGTGCATAATGAAGCTGACATTTCTAATTTATGGTTGATGTTTGTTAATTTTTTTGTACCTTCTTGGCTCCGCTCGTGCATGAATTAAATTTAAAAAATCACGAGCCCTAAAATGTCGGCAAAACAACGGTTTCATGCCTAGTTATTGTTAAATGTAAACATTCGAAAGGGGGTTAGAGGGTTTTCGATCCTGGGGGATATCCTATCGTCAGTCTCGTTGATCAAAACGTGATCCTAAGCCGACGCTTCTGGTTTTATTCCATTTCCGGCTTAGGCCAAAAATTCGCGAGAAAATCCCGCTGTAAGTCCACTATTGTTCGGGAAAATTCGGCACAAAAAAATGCGAAAATTATGTGCAAAAAAAAAGGAGGAATTGCCAAAAAATTACCCCAAAAGCCGAACAAGTAGTTAACTGCAATTACGCAACTTGGGGTGTTTCCGCAACTCCTAAGTCCTTTTTTATGGCCCTGGCACCTCGAAAAGCGGCCGTTATGATTTTCTTTCCTGCACGCAAGGCTTTCGGATATTTGTTGCTCGGGAAAAACGGAAGGGAAATGCCTGGGCTCAGTCATTAATTGTTTGCATTGTTTGTCACTCTGTCAGTCGGACATCTGGCCAGCTGTCGGCATTGGGAATCTGGGGTAAAAAGTTGATTTGTGTCTCGTGCCAAGCAACTAGGGCACCTGCATGGAGGTGTCATATGTCCAATGCAAAATACGTTACTTTTTAGAAGGACTTTTATCGCAGAACTTGTAATATTTCGTTGGGTAACCTAATAACTAGACATCAAATTTATGAAACTCTCTCCATGGGTTAAGCCCATGGCGCCCCAAACTTTCCACCTAACCAGAGGTATTAATTGGTGATTAACTAGACTTAGAGGTCTCGATGGTTGGCGCCGTGAATGTTTTACCACCAAGCCGCTTTGTTACTCGATTTTGAAGTGTGATTTATGAGGATGGCCCTGTCAGCCTCATCAATCAGTGTTCAAGTGGAAGGTGATTTGGCAAAAACAAGTCATAGACAATAGGCCCGAATACTGCGGAGTAAAAACAATCAAGGTTGCTTGCATTTTATGTTAATTGTAAAATTTCTTTTTAAAACGAAATCATGAGGGAAACACGTTTAATTACAGTCTTTTCTCGGGGTTTGGGGGAAAAGCCACCCCCAA